ACAAATCTAGTACTCTTGCACAATGAACTTATTGTTCAAAATTAGTTTAATGTACATAATCCACGGATAAATAAATAAATAAAACACACAATAAAAAATAAAATAAAACATTTTTTTTAATTATACAAATCAAGAAAAAACCATTTTTTCGGTTTTTCATTGAAACATTTTTCGAACAACAAAGGTGTGCTCATTGTGTTTCAAAGACTTGGAATTTCCGAAGAAAGGTGATCGTGTGAAGATGAAGTATCGATACTTTACTTGCCGTGGATGTGAACCATTGCCAGAAGGAAATAAACCACATGGTCCCATCGACTCACGAAAGAGTAATCATCTTTTGACGAAACAACGAAAACATCGACCTCGTCCTGGACCACGTATGGCATCAAAATTCCGACGCTACGAAGAAAAACGGACAATTGGTCGTACTATCACATGGAATCGTGATACAAACGCCGGTCGCAATATACTCTACAAAGGTTTGTGCATTTGATTGAATCGATTTCTCAATATGAACAATAAGTAATGAATTTGTTATTTGTTAAACAATTCAAACATAGGACGGTGTGCTGTAATGAATGAAGAACTACACCCCGTATTTCAAAGACCTACCATTCAGGTAAAAAAAAATAATTTATCAAATTTCATTATGCAATATTCAAAATGCACACTAACTATGTTTAACTTGAATTTCACATTAAGTATTGTTATTATAATCATTACTTTCAGAATCAACAACCAATACAAGGAATATCGCGTTCTATCCAAGATCAAGCACGAAACTCTCGGCCGTAAGCCCTGGGTATTGTGCGGGATGTCATCGTGGTCTTATTATAGCTACTTTTAGTAAGTATTCAAATTTAATCCTATAGTGCTAACATTTAATCCTTTTGGATTATTTTGATGAAAAATCCCAAATGATTAATATTTAATCCCTTCTATTTTACAGAGTAATTGTTCTTGATACATATGTTCGATTGGTGTATAATAAAAATTGTCCAAGTATAAATTCAAAGAGTTCACAAGAGTTTTCATTTTGATAAAATAGTTTTGATGTGAATTTGGATAGAATCGCATCACGACGAGTCGACGCCATGATTTCAATTGAGCATTTTAAAAACTTTCGAGTAATCAAAAATTTCACATACTACCAAAATCATAAAGTTTCCCAAATTTGTGTAACAACGGTGATTTTAATTGCATTTATGGGATTTCAAGATTCAGCTAGAAAAAAAATTGCGTATTTTATTCCTTGCCTTTTATAATAGATGTAATGAAGAAATTTTCTTTACAATTCTTCGCTTTGTATGTTTGAATACAACCCACTTCGACGAGAGGTTTTTATTTTCTCATTACTTCTTCACTTACCAGACCTTGACCAAAATTGTTTTTAAGCCAGATTGTCATTAAAAAAATGTACTATTACCACTTATCTAAAAGATTAAAAAAAAAAAACAAAATAAAGCCACATTTTCTATACTCCATTGAGTGCAAATAAAAGGAATTTTAACAAATTATCTCCACGCTGTACATAAATAAAAAAAAAAACTATACATAAATAAGTCGATTAAATCGTTACGATTAAAGAATTTCGATGAAGTGATGACAATTAAAGTGCCGTTTTTAAGAATTCGATTCATTGTTATTCGAACTTATGAATGCAAATGCGTACAATTCGATTCAATACAATTCGATGGTTGAACAGAAATCTGGATCATATTCGTGACATTCGGCTGAATTTAGTCTTCATACATTAAGTGCCACTGAATAATACACCAATTAAGAAATCTTTTTTTTGTTTTCTTTATATTGAATAAAATGGTAAAACTTCAAGAGGCTTGGAGGAAAATGAGAAAATATTTCATAAAGAAAAAAAAAATGTGTAGTAATTTTCGTATCGTCTTTACTTGTCTAAAATTCATGTCTATTTCATTGGGCTGAAAAAAGTTATAATAACAGTTTTGTTCAACAAATGACGGATCTTGACATAATAATGAAATATGCGATTTTGATGACCACCCGCATTATTTTGAACGAAGAAGAAGAAAATATTATGCAACTTATTCGATAAATGCGCGATTTCCAGATCCATACGAGCATATGACAACTATTGCACGTTTTACTATTTGCTGATAGCAAAATATATGGAAAATTAAATAAACATACAATGCATATCAATGTGAATGTTAAGCGATCCAACACCTTAATTTATTTATAATTTCTTCATGAAGAAACTTTGTAGTTTAATGTTATAAAAGATTGTGTATGACCGATTGTTTGCTTTTCAAATAGATAAACTCTATAATTAAGTCGACGGAAATGGCATATGCAATCATATAAAGATTTTGCTTTAAGGGTGGCATATATATACTTGTACGATATGGCGCTACAATGATTATTAAGTAAGTGCACTTGTGCTGTGAATACAAATAGACATTTCAAATTTCAGTGTATGAATGCTGAGAATGGCGATTCTCGTTTTGTTTAAAAAAGGGAGGAACATTGACATTTTACAGACGGAACTGATTATGGCGCATACTAAAAGCGCGCATTACTGCCGTGGAATATGGAATCAGCAACGCATCAGCACCGCCCAAAATATCAAAGAGCCGAAAGAGTTACATTTTGATATGATCCAACGAATATAAATAAACGCTAACTTAAATTAATTGCACGTTTTCATCTCGTTCCGACAGCGATGAGGCAGCAAATTACACGGCAGTCTGTACACCATAAAGCATGTATTAAATAAGTTCTTTAATGCATTAATTAAAATTTTATTTGATTTTTATATTTTTTCTCGATATTGACTGAACTGAACTGAACTGGTTTGCAAATATCATACACATATGAATCGTTGCGGCGAAAGAGTAGCTTTTATTTTTCTCCAAATAATACTGCAACATAAAGTTTTTTATGAATAGTTTATTTGTTGTATTACAACAAATAAACCGTGTGAAAAAAACTTCATGTTGCAGTATTATTTGGAGAAAAATAAGAGCTACTGTTTCGCCGCAACGATTCATATATACCTCAAATTGAGAATCTATAGATCTTCTATGGTATCCTCAATTCAGACATTCGCTGTACATTCGAAAGATGTTGAATCGAACAGTAAAATCAACTCTCATCGGATCATTATATTACATGTGTAAAAAGACTTGAATTTTTTGACTTTTCAACTGTAGCATTGAACAAATATATGTATCTCAACATACAATACTATTTGAAGATTGTTATGCACACCGCGCGCACACACATATTGATTTGGATAAACAATCTGAACAAATTTCTTGATACTTGGATCTTCATGAATGTTGTTTTGTGCACACCGCACACGTTATTACTAAAACGTAAGTGCTCGCGCGCACACACCTCGCACAGCATTCATTTCAATTGATTGTATTTATTTGAAATTGAGATGCAGAGAGACAGAAAGGGACGGAGAGAGAGAGAGATATTGAGAACAGAATAGTGTTTGTTTGCTGTTAACACAAGTTTGAAACACCATAAGATTCTTCAACTGACTTCTATTTTTCGGTCGATTGGGAAGTTTGTTGTGATTAAATGAAACGCGCGCACGTTAACCGAAAAACAACAAAATAAGGAACGTAAACAAGATCAAAGGCAAAATGTTTCAAGCGATTGATTGATGTCGGCGACGATTAAAAAGAATTGTGCACTTCTAATGACTACATTTTCTAAGCGATTCAGCGCCTACATTGAATTTATTTTTGAGAAACAACATTTTATCTACAATCATTTTGCTTTATTGATTGAGTAATTAAACTACATCTTATTTGATTTCGTGATTTGTAGTTTCACCACATTTCTCGTAATTTTCGAAGATTTTCTATTACTGAAAAGAGATTGAAGCCAGTGTCCCTTCTTCAGTCAGTAAAACTTCACTCTTCATTCAAATCAATTCATATTTCTCAATTGTTGACGAAAAACTCAATTTTTGAAAACAAACGATAGAGGTTATCGTCTTTTATAAGCGTGTAATTTTACAACTCACGCATAAAGACCGCGTAATTTTATTCCATCTGCAAGTCGCTAAAACCAACTTTACCGAGATCATATTTGCGGTATGTTGAGATCATACATGCTTTTATCGTGAGAAAATGTGGTCATCAATTAAATCGAATACACGCGGGGTGTACGTTTCAACGAATTAAAAAAATTGTGCCAAATTAAAATGGCATTCCTTCAACCATTCACGCCGAAAAATTCGATCTAACGGTGGAACGAAGTCCCTCTTTTCAGGGCCACCAAATAAATAACTTATAAAGAATTGAAAAAAAAAAATCCTTTCATGTTCGTATTGGTTTTATATATTACGGTATTTTTTTTATTATTCTAAAGTGGAAAAATAAAATCTTATACGATAGCAAAATGTAGAAAACAGTCTTTCAGACTTCAGCAACCCATTTGTTTCTCAAAATCACATTTCTTTTAAGAACCTAATGTATTCGGACAATTATAACTGTTTTCAAAACAGGATTTTAGGTAATATAATTTACTCTTATCAACTAGCTTTTCTACATAACATTCAATTTTTTATTTATCAGCGAAGGTTAAAATAATTAACTTTTTTACACGTTGGCATATGTCGAACCAAGTACCTTATAAACGGATTTTACCCAGGCATAAATGATATCCACAAGGCATTTTTATCGAGCAAAATCTAACGGTGCCCAAGTCAGTATAATACGCTTTTCGAAGAGTGTACACGCTCTTCTCACACTCTTCGTATAGTTTTATTCAACTCCCTTCTCACACTCTTCTCACACTTTTGCATAAAACACGAATATTGTTTTTAACTGAGCTTCAATTTTTTTCTCTAAAAAAAATTTTTTTTTTTCTTTATAATAAATTTTTCCACTGATGGATAGTTTTTGATTTTGTTTATTTTTGACATTTTGAAAAAAATGAACGTTTACAAAAAAAATGAATTTGTAGTTCTGTTGTATTTTGACACAGCTGACGAATGCTATAAACGTCAAAAACGTTCAAATATCAAAATACAAACATTACTTCCACTAGAATGCAGTGACAGCAGTGATAGCATTACCAATACCATTACACACTCTCTTCTCTCTCAATACACGTGTCTTATGCAAAAGTGTGAGAAGGGAGTCGAATAAAACTATACGAAGAGTGTGAGAAGAGCGTGTACACTGTACACTCTTCGAAAAGCGTATTATACTGACTTGGGTGGTTGGTTTGTAGATTTTTTGTTTTCTGAAGTAAATTCATTTCACTTTCAATATTAACAGTAATACTAGTGAACGTGACGCTTTTTCATGAGCATCGTATGTGGAAATGCAGTCAATGAGGAAATGATGAGAAATGTAAACAGAGCCATGAGTATGATATTCTCACAAAGAAGCACAAAACATGATTGATGTTGATAAATAACAGTTACAGATAAATAATTGCTCTCCTCTACGCGTAATTAAAAAACAGACTTTACTGTTTGTCAAAGATTTTGAGTTACATTCTGCCACAAGATGTACTACAAATGTCTTTCTATGCTTATTAATCGTTCCGAATACTCCTTTCCGTGTTAGATCAAACCTTGATGAATACACTTCTTGATTTTTATCGTAATCAATTTTGCACAAGAACGGGGGCAGAAAATACAAAGTTTGTCGATACGACCACGTAAGAAGAAATCTATGATCTCACAAAAAAAAGTCAAATTGACTTGACTTTGAGTTTTTGTTTCCCTTCGTTATTCGTTTAAATCGAGTAAATGATCAAGCAATTTTGCTATTCTTACTATCGGAGTTTCCATAAATGCAATCATTACATACATCGTTGCTATAATCTCTCTTCTTTTGTGTTGTCTTCAAAACTGCCATCGCCATATATCATTTGAATACAAGTCATTTTTTGTACCTTTTTGTTTGCATTCGCATATTGTCGCACACAATGGAGCGAAACCAATACAACAAAGGAAGAAGAGACGTACGTTGAATGAAAAACATAAAAAATTTACATGCTTTTTAC